CCACCTTGGGTGTACGTGGCTGGCGCCTTAGCCACTTGAGCCACAGGCGCCGAGCCACTTTTTTAATTCCATGACTATCTTTCTAAGCCCAGTAGACACAAAATCTACCTTAGATTTGGAAAGAACATGGCCAGTGAGTAGGAAAGCCCACTGCTCACATCTGACTCTATTGTTAACCAGCTATGTAGCCTTGAGCTAATCACCCCCTTCCCTAGACTCTCCTCCAAGCTGCAAAACAACAGAGCTGGATAAGCTTTCTGTGATCTTTCTACTCTAAAATTCAATAGTTCATTAATCTTTCTAAGAAGAAATATGAGTTTATTCAATAATAAGAAAAGATAAATATCTGATTTAAGATTCCCATCCTATATAATATTAGAAATTCCCAACAAGTTCAAATGTCATTGCTCTACAGTTTTTCTGCCCTCTTAAAACATTCAGCAACCTTTTAGAGGGAACAGCCCTGAGACACTAACCTTACTTGTGCAGAGCTCTGCATATGTCCCTCCAATTCCTCTCTTCTGGGCCCATGAGGGCATGACTTCAGGGTCAGGCACAACAATACCCACCAAAAAGGCCTACAGTGCTCACCAAAGGAAAACAGTTATGACAAAAGCCTTTAAAGTGGTTACTTGTAGTCCAGAATTAAAATTCTTAGACTCTACCCTTCTCTAAAAATAAGGACATGCTTATGAAACATTTCTGCCAAACACATATTCTTGAGGGCTCATTTTCTGATACATTCCCCTAACTTTATAAAAACATAAGTTTAGGAGTATTAAGAATCAGTAATAGATATCTTTGATTTTCATGCCAATCTTATATCAGCACATCTTTAGGATGCTAATCTAACAACTCTATGATTCAAATTCCATGACCTAAAACATATGTTTCCCAGGATTTCCAGACCATTTTGAAGTTGCTTTATTAATATAATCCACATTCATGAAGAATATATTTTAATTTTTAAAGTGATATTTAATTATATAAATGTAATGAGAGTTTAAAATATTTTCACTATCTTTGATATCATGGGACATATTCATTATCTTTCTGACTTCAAATCTGAATGATATCAAAGCAAAATAAGTATTAATCCCCTCTCAATAATTTAATTCTATAAACCATTAGGACTAGCAACATCATTTGCAACACTGTACCCATTATACCCATTAATCTATAAAGTTCATTTGTATATTTAAAAATAAAAATGGTAGAAACCCTGAATCTGGCTTTAGCATCACCCTCTTGAAAGTAGGTAGAACAAAAGTTAAAAGGAGTGGGGATGTTCATTACTACGACTTCAAGCAACTTATTTGGCCTAACTGCATTTTACCAAACTATAAATAATTAAGATTTTTCCTTTAAAAAGGAATATTCTTTCATGATTTAAAATGCAAAGGAGAATCCTGGTGTGTGTTGGAGATTAATATTTAATCTGAATTTTTCAGTAGGCCCAGTGCATGTAGAAAGGATGAAGCCCAGGAGCCTCACCTTTAAACTGTCCCCATGGACGTAGACTTGTGCCACAGGCTGGCTCCGGATGTAGATGTTCTCAATCTTCTCAGGTGCAACATATTCCCCCTGAGCAAGTTTAAATATGTGCTTTTTCCGATCAATAATTTTAAGAGTTCCTGCCTGTAGAGTTGGACAAAACAGTTGCATAAGAAGATGGCATGCCCAGGCCTGAACCCCTCACTTCTCAGTGCCATAGCCCTTCACTACTGCCCTAACCTACCCTCTCACCCAGCTGACCCTGCCCCAATCTCCTCTTCAGTCTGTTGTCTCTGTTCTTACAGGGCTGCTGTGCAGCTGGAGAAAGATACTACATACTGCAGATTGATGGCATCCAAGCTCTGCTGGGCCTTGAGTGCCCACTGTTTTACTCCTTAGCAGTAACCCCTGCCACCCGCACACCTACTTGCAGGTATCTTCACCTCTTCCTTGTCAGAACCCACCTCCTTTCCACCAGGGCTCCATTCTCACCCAGGCCCTTGCTCTAATTGTCCTTTATCTCACAGGCATCTTCAGTTTCATTCCTTAAAACCATATACAGACCTCTTGCCCAGCTACTGCCTCTACTCACAGCCTCTCTATCCCAGGGAATATAGCAAAGATCTGGTATCATTTGGCTACCTAAAAGCCAGATGGTGCCAGAAGTCTAGGCTCCTATAGGATCTCTGCAGTAGGCAGGTCACACTACACCCCGAGCAATAAGTGCTGGTACCATTGGCTTCCAGGTCCTGTGCACACCTTACTCTCCTCAACCTTTCTGAGTTTCCATGATGATTAGGTGGACTTCTCTCTTTCAGCCCAACCATTGAGTATTGTACTTGCCTCCCTCCCATCAGTGCACCTTGACATAACCCCAAGTTCTCTCTTTATTGGCCACTCCTATATCTATCTAAGCTTCTGGCTCCTCATTCACCCTGAGCCCAGCTACCCTCTGAATATGTTTGCCCCTTGGGATCCGACATACCACAGATGAAGCTCATGACCATCCTCCTCAATCCTGCCCTACCTCACGCCTGGGGATGGCCTTGCTCCTTGCCTCTCCTGGGATCTCTAGCAGGCAGGATCACCCATCCTTGTTCATAAATCCTGCTTACATCCACCCCCTTCTCCCATCAAAACCACTTGCTGGCTACTTCAATTGTGTGATCCACCAGAAGCAGAGCAATTTGTCCAGAAGAGGAAAAGGAGCAGGCTCTGCTTTGTCAGAACCCAGGCTGGACATCAGGTGCCTTCCCTACACTAGCTCCTCTGGTCCTCATGGACTCCATTAGCTGAATGTTGTTACCTCTATTTTACAAATGAGGGAAATGAAGATCAGAAAGATCAGTTAACTCCTTCAAAGTCACACAGCGAGGGGGTAGGGGAACTAATATTGGAACTCAGGTTCTTCTGGATCAAAAGACTATGTCTTTTCCTTGATCTATTATTATTTCAAAAAATAATAAGTTTTAAAGTTTATAATTTGTCTTCATAGACAATTTATACCTAAATTTAAAGAATGGATCAAACTTTGCACATTCTCTCCCAGAAAACAGAAACAAACAAACAAACAAACACCACTCACCAACTCATTCAGTATGCTGACACCAAAACCATAGGAGTTGTGTATTAAAGGAAAATTACAGGTCAATTTCATTTATGAGTATAAATGAAAAGGCTAAATATAATTTTTAGAAAAATAATATTAGCTGGGCACGGTGGCTCATGCCTGTAATCCTAGCACTCTGGGAGGCTGAGGTGAGTGGATTGCCTGAGCTTACAGGTTTGAGACCAGCTTAAGCAAGAGTGAGACCCAATCTCTAAAAATAGCCAGGCATTGTGGAGACACCTGTAGTACTAGCCACTAGGGAGGCTGAGGCAAGAGGATCACTCAAGCCTAAGAGTTTGAGGTTACTGTGAATGGCACTCTACTAAAGGTGATAAAATGAAACTCTGTCTCAATAAAAAAGAAAAGGAAAATGTTAAAAAGGAATATCATAGTTAAGCTGAATTATGCCAAGACTGCATGATTTGCTTCACACAAGAAATACATATATAGAAAGAATAAGTATTTGTCTCAGAAGCTGTAATGATTTAAATAAATTTCAACAACCATTTAAATTATTAAGAAATGGACTCTCATAGACCTCTCCCTGCCTGTCTTAGGCTCTGTGCTCAGGCTGCAACACTGGATGTTTTAAATGAATTAGTTTATTTGCTCTTCACAACCCCTTGAACTATAGGTGGTTCATTCAAGTTACAAGGCATCAGTGGTTTTGTGGGGCTTCAAGCTTTTATAATTTTGAAAGCCCTTTTTATGAAAAATAATATGAAATGATATGCAAGGCCTTGAAAGGGGTTGATGCAAGTGAGGAGTCCTGAAGCCTAAAGCTTCCTGAGCTGACAGGGCAACCCACCCTCTGCAGGTGTCCAGGGCCCACTGACCCTCTCTGGCCTCTCTCCCCCACACCTATGGACCTTTGGTTGGAATTAATTGCCTCAAACCCCTACTGCCTCTGTTCTGCACACTTCCCTGACTGTCCTTCCCACGCTCTCCTCTCTCCTTGGAACATGACTCAGATTCTGAGACTTGGATCCAGTAGGTGCCTGTCATACTCTGCCTTTCCCCAGGTGAGTGCGCCCCCTGCTCAAGCCAATCACATTGGGTTGGGAACTGTCTAAGGACGCAGGTCTTCCCTGAGCAGAGTCCTTGGCCCACGGCAAATGCTGGGGATACATCCTTGTCTGCTACAAACATGAAGGTTTCTGAGGGGAAGAGCATAGATCCAAGCAGAAGTACATCCACTTACCAGGCCGCAGGGCCTCTGGGTGGTCTCATCATTCCTATGCCTGGCTTAATACCTTAAAACATCCACCCCAAACCTTAGCAACTTCCCAGAGACACAGGAGGGGTTTCTGGGGGTAAGCTGCATTGCTCTCAGTGTCAATGACAAAGCCTTTTTCTGGTCAAATCATTCATCTAAGTGTCTCCCAAGTGCCAGGCATTGTGCTAAGTGCTTTATAGCTATACTCTCATTTCTTCCTCACAAGAATAACTATAGACATAAGCAATGTTATTATCCTTATTTTTAAAATGACAGACTGAGACAAACTGGTTTTGGCTAAAAGGTAGGGGATATGGCCAAAGAATGCCATGAAGGCTTACTGTCTGATTCTACAATTAAGTCAAGGTCAAGCCCAAGGGAGGGATAAGGCTTTGCTCAAGGCTGCAAGAGCAACTGCTGGCAGAGAAGAGCTTAGATATCCTCCTACCTAGCTCTAAGCTTTTCTCTCTGCTCAGTGCCACCCGTTGGCTGGAGACCTACATCTTTGTGCTCACAGGACCTGCTCTTCCAGACCTCCCAGAAATACATACCCCCTGCTCTTTCAACTCCACTATCAGATTCCACTCAGTCAGATCTCTTTCTGAAAACCATTAAGCATAGGGCATTGATCTCTAAGACCCCAGCTACAATCTCCTACACAGGTGCCTCTTCACCTTCATGAGGGAGAGAAGAGATGCTCCAGTCCCCAGAGATGCTCCTAAGTGACTAATTGTCAGGGAGGATATGAAGAAGATGTCTGCCTCAATGACCCAGATCATACACCCTCTCACCACCAAAACATCTGCAACTCCGCCATTCTAAACATACGCACCGGCAGCCACTTCCCGATGTCTCCAGTGTGAAGCCAGCCATCACTGTCCAAGGCCTCATTTGTCCTGTCCTGATCTTTCAAGTAGCCCTTGAACACATTTGGTCCTCTCACACATATCTGTGGAGACAAAAATCCATTGCTTCTCTTAGCCATAGCATAAGGAATGCAATGACAGGAGGCTGTCACCAGGCACATGTAGAATAGGTACACTATCCATCAGGAAGACCAGCACCATAGGGTGACAGTGATGAAAACAGAGGACAAGGAACAGCAACCAGCCATCTGAACTGACTCCTATCTTGTCTCAAGCAGCATCCTCCCCATATTTCCTCCCTGCTCTGGCCATCCAGGCTTCTGCCTTTTCTTCTTCCTCAGGAGCCCCCCAGCCTTGTCCACATGCTGCCTTGTAACACACTCAATGGGGTCTCATCACAGATATTGATAGCTGCTTGATTCTACCAGAGATGCTTGAGTCTCCTGTTTCTTTACCAGCCTTCCCATTCACTCCCACAGAATGAACGAGCATAGGCCAGCTCTATCTTCCCCATCTACAGATCATGACAGTTGGAGGGGGAAATGGAGTTTTAAAAAATGTTTATGAATTCCAAATATTGATTTGGAATTTAGAGCAGTCCAGTCCCAGCACTGGAAGTTTGCTGCCTCATAAACAGGAAGAGAATATGCTGAGTTTAGTTGAGTCAAATTAATCAGCAATTTAAAATAATTTTATACATAGGTAAAAGGAAAACAATTCCATCCCAACTGTTTTTGTCTGTTTCTACTCATTATGTGTAGCATCCACAGATGTGAATGTCTAAACCCTTAAGTTTACCTCTCCCTCTCCTTTGCAGGCCCAGTAGTTCAGTTCTTCGACATCAACAAGCTTGATGTGATTGCAAGGCAGTGGTGCCCCTACATGCCCTAAAACACCAGAGTAAGACAGCATTTGTTAGTGTTCAGATCAGTTGCAACATAAAAGATGATCCATGCCCTGTAAAACCCCAGAGTGGTTAAAATGGAGAATTATGAATGGAAAGCAAGGCATCTTTAGAAGGGCCATTTGTCACTGGCAAGCATTGATGATAAAACAAAGTTCTGGGGAAAGCAAAGGACAACTTATACCTGGGCCTTTGTTTTATATCTGAGTCTTAAAGGGCAGGGCAGACCCTGTAGGCCTTGCCTCAACCTGCACAGGGGCCTTAGGTGGTGTGAAGGGCTTATATCCACACCAATCACATGGTCAGGATTTTTTATAACAGTGCCCACATTGAAACATTTCTCCCATTGTCATCACAAGTCTTGGTTTGGAGATCATAAAATATAGAAATCATTGCTTTTCCTCTAGTCCCCAGACTATTGATTAATGTGTGTAGGAATCACCTAGAAATCTTGTTAAATTATAGATTCTGGTTCAGTAGGTCTAGGAGAAGTCTTGAGAGTCTACATTTCATCCAGGCACTAAGGTAAGGGTGCCAGTGAGGGTGCACACACTACTTTCAGTAACAAAGGAATAGAAAACTGGGATGAAGCAACTTACCCTCAAAAAATAAATCTCCACATTCTTTTGGTCAAATTTACCACAAAATTACATTTTCTTTTTCTTTTTTTTTTTTGAGACAGAGCCTCAAGCTGTCCTCCTGGGTACAGTACCATGGCTTCACTGCTCACAGCAACCTCCAACTCCTGGGCTCAAGTGAGTCTCCTGCCTCTGCCTCCCAAGTAGCTGGGACCACAGGTGCCTGCCACAACGCCCGGCTATTTTTCGGTTGCAGCCATTATTATTGTTGTTTGGCGGGTCCGGGCTGGATTTGAACCAGCCACCTTAGGTGTATGTGGCTGGCGCCTTAGCCGCTTGAGCCACAGGCGCTGAGCCAAAATTACATTTTCTAAGTCATTTTCTAGTCATTGTTTGTGCTTTTTACATAGTTCACTGCCAAGCTGGAGGTTTATTGAGCAGATGCTGGCCAAGGTCCTGACAGAAAAATGAGCCACATGCATGAAAAAGAGAAACAAACAAGGCTGTAACATTTGGTTTCTCTTTGGGCTCCCAAACCTTCTAAAACACTGCACACAGATACATGTCCTCTTATGCCCAATAGTCTTTTCAAGTTTTTATGGTAAGGATGAATAAAAAAGGCAAAACTTCAACAGTTTCACGTGGAAAAATTTAAAGGATGACAAAAGAGGGAGGAAAGAGAATCCGAGAAGAAGACGATATAGGATAGTGACTAATCAATATAATATGGCATCAGGAAGAAAAACTTAATGAGTGGGACTTCTAAAGATGGTTCCTGTAGGAGATGTGCCAGTGCCAGAGTGATCAACAAATTTATATACAAAATAGGCTTCATTTAGAGATAGAACTAAGAAAATATGCTTCTATACTTGACTTGGACAAATATGATTTCATTTAAAATCCACCTATCATGTTTCTGCTACCTCAAGGTATTCTGAAAATCATACTGCATTAAGGAGCATTTTCTTTCATATTCCCATCAGCTCAAATTTTCCAGTTTGTATTTCAGCAAACTTAAGCACAAAGAGTAGCCCTAGGGTCACAGAGGAAGTGGAGTACTGAAAGATTCTTTTGCTGAGTGGTTTTCTAAATCTGCCAGCATTTGGTCCAAGTCCAATGATGGTTAATCTATTGGCTACCTACTACAGACTTGCTTCTCCCTTGCCCTAAAAGATGAATCTCTTCAGAAGGAGGATGTGGATATGAGCTGCTCCTTTCTGAGGTTGCTGCTGCCTTCCAGACAGTAGCATAGATCATGGCTCCCAACAATTCCTTGGCCACTATGAACCTGCTTCTCCTTTACCCAAGTTATATCCAATATAGCCTGAATCCTTCATTCTTAAATGTCTGTAAGTAAGGCTGTGTAGTATCTAGAATCTGTAAACTTCCGTATACTGATATTATATTTTTCCACTTGGGGTTGTATCTTCTGATCTATTACTTTTTATATAACTTCCATTTATCCATAAAATAAATAGGAAAATAAAAAATATGTAACAAATAAAACAACAAATCCATAATGCCACAACCCAGACATAACCTCTATTCATATTTCTCCATTTCTTTTGATTTTCTCCTAAGTTCCATGCAAGGAGTTTTAGAACCTGCTGTTTTTATTCCACAGTGGCTGTGAACCATCCAGTCTCTAGCCTATCCCACCTGAGGTCCAGTCTCCTGGCGTGGTGAAGGTACATCCAGCTGTGCACTCAGTTTGGCCATAACCTTCATAAACCTTCAAACAAAACACAGAAACCACACTGTGGCCCCACATACTCCAAGAGCTGAATGGCTGTCCTTTCCAGTCAGCTAACTTCCCACTGAGCATCTGGCTGCGCCATGATGAGAATGGCAGGAGGGACGTACTCTGGAAGGAGGTAACTCCAGGTGAAGATGAACACAATAGGGTAGCCACATTTGCTTGGAGGAAGTGCTATTTTTACCACTGACCCTTAATAGCTAAGGCTATATAGTTTGGGGTAAAGATATCTGATCTATTTTAAACCACTGGTTCTATTTTTCACTTGAATTATATGCTAAAAATAAACATTTAAAAATCCACTCTATTTTTTTTGTCTCTGTAAGATATTCCTTATTTGCATAAATGCAAATAAGCAGGGCTTGCTGCCTATTTGTGGGAGAGTCTGCCTATAGAAATGATCAGGCCATGTTGGTGTTAAATAGGAGAACAGTGTAAAAAGTTCTTAGCTTCAGAAGCATAAAAATGTAAGCATGCACCATTATGAAACATGTCTAACATACAAGCCATCAGCTACAACTATGGTATGATGTCCAGCATATATAGGAACTTAATAAATATTAATTGAATGGATACATGAAGAAATGCACTTTTAGTGAAGGCAAAAGCTAATGAACCAGATAACACACAAATGGGCTGTCATCTCCTTCTCTGTTCTCCTTTTCTGGGTTGGGAGATATTTGGTAGGCTAGAGAAGGGAGAGATGCAATCTAGGGGTGGTACAGATTATTCAGCATAATGACAATCTATATAAAGCTTATCTGAGCCCTTTCCCTTTGCTAAAACTTTCCAAGGGCCCAGGTAAAGTAATCTGCAGAACAGACACACCTAGGCTTTCCAGATGTGGCATAGCCATCTTGGCTTTCCCTGGCTCTGGGGGTTTTTAATCCTCTGAGGAAGGAGCTTTTATCCCCAAAAAATCTTGCCCCAGGGTATTTCTCTGTCCTTCAGAGTGTATTATAGTTTTCTTGCCCTAATAAACTTCCCATTCTCCTCAGGGAAGGCCACACAATGATAATACCTGGCACCCTAGAGCTGCCCGGAGGAATCCTAGGACTGCTGGTGATGCAGGGGCTGCTCCAGTAACAATCATCCGCACACATCCACCAAGACTGGCCTGCAGGAAGAGAAAAGAACCAGAGTTTGTAATGCCTGAGATGGCATCCAGCCCCTGTGGGCCCCAGCCAAGGTCAGCATCCAACAGCTGAATCCTGCCTGGATGTTAGGGGTAGGATCAGAAATAAAGACGGAGGATGTACAGCATGTGAGCTGAGGACATCCTTTCACCTTCCTTCTAAATAATAGATCAAATTGGCTCTGCAACCGTACTCAACATACAACCAATTCTTTTATGGCTTTTGAGATAAGTGCCATTAGTCCATGGAGCATTCTATATTGGTTCTCCCTTCCTTAAAATATATAGCTCCTCCCTCACTGTTCCATCATCTACAAGCACCCAAGACAATTACTTAGAACAATTTCTCCCCACTTCCATTTTAATGGCATGGCCTTTTCTTTCATTTGTAAATCAATACCATGCTTTATTTACGCTGCTCTACAGAGGACAAAGAATACTTGAAACACTTTGTTTCTCTAAGTTGAATACAGAGAGTTTAAATATTAATTTTCATAACTAAAAATAGAGTAGCAAGAAAAATAATGAGTAATGCTACTAATTAACTACAGATTCCTTGAGTAGTGCAGAGCTTAAACACTTTAGTGGAGGTGCAGAAATAAGTAATTCATGATTGGTCTGGTTTGCAAGAGGTTAAAGGGATAGGACACAGGAAAAGAAAAGATGATTCTTAGCCATACAGCTAGAACAGCATGCTGCTGGAAAGTCACCATGACCTGGATTATCAGGAGGGGAAAGAGGACCACTCACTGGAAAAGCCACTGTGGAAATTAAAGGACCTCTTACTTTTCAGGAGTCCTTCCTAGTTGCCTTTTGGCAAATATAACACATCTCCAAAGGTACAAAATGACTACCTTAACATTTCCATGGTACCTTAAGCTTCCATTTCAAAACAAATGAGTTCTTATATTACTTCACAAGTTATAGGCTGCTGGGATGAACTTCTCTAGTTCTCTTGTAAGGTAAGAAAGGTCATCCACTGAACACTTAGGTGTCACTTGATAATTGCGTGTTCATTTTCTTACCTGAATCTTATTAAAGAAGAGTTCATCCCAGATACTATCATTCCTGATGATTCCACTCCGGATCTCAGCTTGCTTTCGCTTTGCTGCAAATTCCAGGAGCCAGCGCTTTAACGGTGTGTTTGCCTGGCTGAAGATCTGAGGGACACAAGTTGGAAATGGCTGTTGGACCTGAATAGCTCACCTCTACACATGTCCCATGGAAAGAAAGCCCAGACTCATCAATAGAGAAGCCACATTCCCTTTTACCCAGCAGGAGGCCGCTGAATGTTAATATTGGCAAGGTCCAGGCATGTTGCGGAGATGGAAGTTCTAGAAAAAAATATCCCCAACTAGGGTTTTGGAGAATAGGATGTAAACAGGAGTAAAAAGAGTGGGAAAGAGTCAGGGAATACAAGAGAGGAGACAACTAAGAGGACCTGGGGATGGAGGCATGGAAAACCTGTCCGGGGTCCCAGACCTGGTCAGTATAAGAAGACCTACAGCCCTCAGCCTGGCCAGAGACTCCCTGAGGGTTCACCTTGTCGTACATCCGGTTCAGCAGTCGTGGGACCACAGGGAAGATGGTGGGGTGTAGAGCCTGCATGTCATCTGAGAGGAGGCGGATGTCCCCTTGGAAGAAGCCAACACGTCCTCCGTGGCAGTAGACGACAGACTGGAGGGAAAGGACAGGAAGGGAGGATTCCATTAGGGTGGTTACTCCTGGCTAAAGTCCAGAGCTGTCCAAAGTGCTGCCCTACATGGAGGGCACCCATGACCCCCAACCCAGCTCTGGCTGCTACCATGAGACATTGAAGAATAGTCTCTAAGGTAAGACCCCACTACTACCTTCCCACTAAGTCTCACTCAGGCATAGGGCAAACAAGCAGGAGACAGAATGGAATTCTGAGTCTTTGGGAGATGCCGAAGCAGCCATTCTTTCTGGTGCCTATCCCTTCATGCCCATTTCCACACCCTGGCCATGGGCTTCCCTGGGAACACAGGTCTCTGAGATATATTTAACTCCATTAATGGGTCTGCTCTAGAAGAGTCCTTGGGGACATCCTAGCAACTCTGAAGGGTGTGTAGGCCCCATAAGTCCTGGAGATGCTGCTGGAATTGGCTGTGGGTGGCAGGCCAAGGGGGAACCTGGCTGGTTCCTAAAGGCACTGGGAGTACACCAAGGACCACATACATGCTCCTTTCTGTAATGCTCATAGGAGCCCTCTAGGGGAGATAGTATTCCTAATCCCCATTTTACAGGTGAGGAATGCGAAGCTCAGAAAGATAAAGTGACTTTCCCTGGGTCACAAAACCAGTTAATAGTAATTGCTAGCATTCTAAGCCAGGTCTAGAAAGTAGGAAAGCATGCTCAATTATATGAGATCTATCCACAGGAAAATGGGAAAGGCTTAGAAGACTCAGTTTATCCATAGGCGGGTCCCCTGAATTACACAAGTGTGGGACAGTCTTTGTTCCTGGAATCACATATGGAGTCCTTCCCCACCCCTCTTCACTCCCACAAGTCCTGTCTCAGGACCAATCTAAGGCCAGTTCCCACCTATAGCCTGAGGAGCCATGACAGTTTGATTCCCCAACTTTACTATTTTGTTGTTTTAGGAATTCATGAGTTATGAAGTTATATGTTTTCTGGCCATATAGGGGGCAAACTATACTACACAGAGCTTGAATGGAATAGTAAAGCATGTCTGCAAAGCTCCAATAGTCTCTGATGCTATCAGCTGGGGTCTCTCTCAGCTGAGGTGTGTCCAGGGGTAAGACAGGGCAGGCCTGGGGTCTTCCCCAGAACAATGCTTCCAGGAGGGACAGTTAGGGTGGCCAAGGTCCTCTAACCCTTGTGACCCCTGTGGTACCTTCTGAGGACAGGGCAGTTTGAGCCTACTTCATGCCACCAGTGACAAGTAACACTGTGCTAGGGTTATGGGTTCTAGGCACAGATTGTGCCTCCCTGATGCCAGGGCCTTACCTGCACCATTCGCTCAAACATGTGTGCTAAAGGCAAATAGGAAATGTGCACATCCGCACAAGTGGGAGCCCACTGACTCTGTAAGAAAACAGAAGGAGCCCAGGCAAGGCCCGGTCAGTCAGGTGAGTGTCTTACCTGGATTACTCTCTCAAACATGTGAGCCAGAGGCAGGAAGGAGATGAGCACATCGTCCTGTCTCGGAAAGATCACTTTCTGCAGGTGACGGGCATGGGAGACAGAAAGGAAAGAAACACTGACAGGAAGACGACAAGAAAGTCATAAAACAATAAAGAGAAAATGGTCCTGGAGGGGCAAACAGGAAGAGAGGGAAAGGGAATGAAGACAGAGAGAGAAAAAGAGAGAGATGAGATGAGAGAGAGAAGAAATGAGAGAGAGAAAGAAGAAAGAGAGGGGGGGGAAGGAAGAAGGGAGGGATGGGGAAGGAGAGAGGTGGGGAAAGGTGCAGAAAGAAGAGAGAGAGACAGAGAGACAGGGCAGCATAGGAAGCGGAGTGTTAGGTCGCAGCGCCAGTGGGTCTAGGTTATCTGCAGAAGCAAAGAGCCAAATGAAGCACACATAAACCAGCAGAGTTGGGCTCCGCAGGGAAGTCTCCTCTTGGGAGGGCCTGCACCTCACTTGCAGTCAGTCAGCACCAGCCGGGCTCTCTCCCCTTCCTTCCCTTCTCCCCTCCTTCCCACAGCCATAGGATCTCACCATATCCCATTTCCCCAGTCTCCCTAGTCCTGCAAAAGGATTCAGAAGGCCTTGGCTAATTACATTTTCAAGTTCTTCTTCCAGAGAACAAGGCCCAGAGAGCCCTAAGTCTATGCCAGTTGTGGCTGGGGTACAAGCCCCAGAAAGAGACAAGGCCAAGCCCCAGGTAGTTGAACTGGCTTCCCAAGCTATGCCTGGGACCAGGGCCTTAACAGAGAAAGCTGACAAAGAGCCCTGCTGTATCCACCAGCACAGGGAGGGCCCCAGGCCACATCCCACAGATGTGAGGGACTCTAGGAAGGGGCAGGGCCTGCAAGAGGCTGGGCTCAGGGGTGGGCGTGTTCCTTCAGGAACTCTCCTTGTTCTCCACCTTTTTGTAAGGCTGGCTTTTGGCCCAGTTTAGACAAATCCTAGGATCCCACTTTACAGCTCCTAACCTGGGCTCAGCCACTAACCATCTCTCAACAGTTTTCTACCAAAAATATACAACCATTTGGTGCACATGCTCCACAAAATCATCCAGCATGAATGTGGAGAGTGATTTTCTACACAGTAGAGAAAAAGCCTAACTTCTGCGAAAATATACATTCCACTATCCTGAAGGAAACTGCAGGACATACTCACCACTTATGCGAAAAGTCCTCCTTTCTTAGTTGGTTATAAAATGCTAACATGCTTTTGTCAGGCCAAGATATCAAAGCTTTTTTTGATTTTAAATTTACCTTTAAGTACAGCCTTATAAATTAGCAGTTGCCGTTGTTTCTCAGACTCTAGTAGTCCTTAAACACAAAATGACTGAATTAAACCCCAAACCAGTTGAAAAACAAGCTATTGAAAATTATTTTCTAATAAAGGTACACACAAAACCATAGGTATATCAATTTTTGAAGTTAAAAAATAAAAATATAGGTTTATATGCTTTTCTTTCTGGGATCTTAATACTCTTAGAAATCAAATAAATATCAAATATGGGTCATTTCAGGCTAAAGATGGCTATAAAAGTGGGGTCGCTATAATGAGAACAGCAACTCCTATTTGTGAATGGCAACCCAGATTATATCAGGGGAAAATAATCCTCTGAGCCTTGAGGTTGTCCTCAAGAGACACCTGCATTAGTAAGTCTACTTTATTCACCTCTGTCACTTTCAGAAAGCCTGAGAAATCAGCCACCACGTTCCCATGGGTGAGCATCGCACCTTTTGGGTTCCCTGTAAAAAGAAAGCAAGAAAGCAAATTAGTTGGACCTCAGGGGCCACTCCTTGAGAACAATGCTTAGGTTTTCAGTCCCAGACATTCAAGCTGTCCACTCAAGCCTCTGGCCTTTGTCCTCAGCTACCTTCAGACTTCCAGGCAGGTGACTGCTGCTTTGAGGACTTCCACCCTGTAGACCCTTGAAGGCCACCCTGAGGATCCTAGCAGTGTGGGATTACTGGTGACCTGCACTTTACCCTCTCCTGCCTCCCTCAGGGAGCATGGGCTCTAGGCCTGCAGTCCCCTCAGTGCTGCTCTCTGGGCCTGACGAGGGCTACTCTCCTGAATCCAGCAATCAACTCTGCTGGCAGAGTGCCTCCCTGCTGCATTTGGCATTTGGAAAGATCCCAACCTCAGGCTAGGCTATAGGTCCAGAGAGCTGGGGCATTCCTTCCTGCCTGCTCACCAGCAGAGTTGGAACGCAGGTGTAGATGATCTTTCTTGGTCTTGATATGCCTTTCACTACAACTCATAAGGCAAGGTCCTCAGGGCACTTGAGGAAGCCAAGGCTGCTAGGATGCCTCAAGAGATAGAGGCAGGTGGAGACTCATGGCACAGCAGGCTAGGGAGGCCACCATTTATATCAAGGTGGAATGAACCTAATGTGGCTGCTGGACAGATCTGACAGGGCTCAAATCCCTGCTAGCAACATCACTGGTTCCTCCCTCACTTTCCTCACCTGTGAAATGAGACCATAACACCCATTCATAGGGCTGCTGTAAAGGCTAGGGCTATAACATACAAAGGATGTTAAATTAGTTCCCACTGAGGCAGCCAAAGATGTTAAACTAGATGTTTCCACAGAGGCAGCAGATATACTAATAGTAGCTGAGAAACTCCAAAAGTGAAGGGCCAGACCACATGCTGAATTTACCCAGGAAATATCAAATAAACTAACACATTAACTTTGCAGCCATCAAGTGAGTAGAGAGTAAGAGAGTACTGTACTAAAAGTCACTGAATTGCTCACGTTAAAATAGCTAATTTTATGCTTTCTGAATTTTGCCTCAAAAAAAGAGAGAGTATTTGTAAAGAGGATTTCTTTGGCGAGCCTATGGCCCCCACCAAAAGGGGAGGAATTAAGAGTCCTCTCTCCCTACCCAAAACTGAAGCCCAAGCTAACTCAGACTCTATTGGGATCACTTGAGAAGCCCAAACATGTTCCCTGCAGCCAGAGAACCCAGTGAGAAAGGCGAAGAAGGCTGTAGCTGCCAAAAAATAATTAATCCCATGGAACTTTTTATTACCTGAAAGTAACCAGAAAAGGCATGAGAGGCCTGAGTTTTTATCCAGGAGCAGAAGAAAAACCACCTCTCGCTGAGCAAGTTTAAAGGAACGAATGGAGACAAAAATAAAGCTGCTCCCATAATTATATCCCATGAGGCCTACTTGCTCAACTTATTGGTGACCCATTTGTCAGAGACAAGAGCTTCAGTCATGGACCCATCTTTGAATTCCACAGACTCATCCATTTGACTGAGGTGATTCTGGAGACAAAGACGTTTGCATGATTTTAAAAACTATATTAATAAATAGATGCCTGTTAAAATATCTTCCTTTCAAAAAAAATTAAGCAATTAAAAATACCATCACATAGAGGATGAGGAGGAAAGAAATAAAATAAGTAAATAAAATATCTTCCTTTTAAAAATAAAAAGAGCCCTGGGGTCTTTTTTACCTCTACCCATCCTTCTTTCATTCTGACATCTTTCCTCAAACCAAAGGCCCACATTAAGAAATTTCTCTGAGTTGACTCTTATATACAAATCCCATAGAGACTCTGGGCCCACAAAGTATTCCAAGTGTCATCCATGGATTCTCAGGTTCTGCAATTATCCAAGGAGCATGCCCCAAATACTAGGTATGAGATCACAAGTGTCACAAAATAGAGTCCTGTGCTACAGAGCTTTAGATCTGTGAGGTTGGCTGACTTGTTTGCACCTGATATAACTTCAGGTTGGATGGTCTGAAAATCTCAAGAGAAATCTGTCTTCATTGATGAACAATTTCTAAAGCCTCCATTCAGTTCAGGCCAAAACACATACAACAGCAATAGTTATTTGATTTTACTTAGATAAGCCCTTTTCTTCTCTAGCATGATGAGAAAATGTTCACACCTTTTCATTTTCTTGTGGATATGAATGTAATTTCATAAACTTCTAATGACTGACAGGATTTTAAAATATTCCCAGAAATGTTCAAATTATTTCAAGTCATCTCTGGATGTGATCCCAAAAGATGAAGGAGGAGTGAATGCTGACAACAAATTCTGGGGGAAGACTGAAATGTCCAGCTGGGAGGGACAAGATGAGTCTTCAGAAAGGTTCTGCTTGCTTCTCTGACTCAGGACAAAGATAGGCGTCTGAGGTGATTCTGGAGACAAATTCTGAGCACGTCTGGCAGCATTTCTTTTAAACAAAATCTAGAGAAGTTTTTCAAGTTGCTCACACGAAGGAACAGTCTAAGCCTTCCTAGCTAATGCTCTTTGCAATCAAGTTTGTAGAATTAAACTGCTGGATTTCCTCTGGTTCTCTCCTTTTCCAGCATGAAGTTAGTGAGAGGGTGCCAATGTCTCAGCAGTGTGAGACCTACTGTCCATTTCCCATCTTTGCTCATAAGCTCACCCACCTTGCATTTAATTTCCTCTGAAGCCATTGAAGAGTAACTCTTCAAGTTTCAGATTCTACAAATGGCATTTTGGCTTTGGTCAGTGTTCCTGGGCAGGCCTCCCACAGCTATTATTCAGAAAGGCATTTTGCTGGGTGCAGATCTGTCTTAGTTGGATGTTGGCACCAAGTGAGAGCAGCTGTGAGATGAAGCTGAACTCAAGGTTTCTCCTGCAGGGCTGGGAGTGGAGTTTGGAGACAGTAGTGGGCCCTCTGGTTGAGGGCTCCTCTGACCACTTGTTTCTGCCTTTACACAGCCAAAGGTGAGTTACAATAGATAATGGTGACCAAAATGCTCTGGAAGTTTGATAATGCAAGTGGAGAGTTCATCTTCCTGCTCAAGGCTCCCAAATCTTCTTTAGGATCGAGTCTTACTTTTATCAATCCCATATCCATCAAGTTTTAAAAATCAGACTTGGGAGCTAGTAAGAACAGAAATAACACCTATAATAGCAGCTCAACACTGGCATTTCACACATGGTAGCTTAGTTATTTCTTGAAACAACTCTCTGTGGTAGGTATTAAATGCATTATTCATTTGCTATCCAAAGAAACTCAGGCTTAAGAGAAGTTAACTAATGCTAAACTCAAACAGCAGAAGTGCTGAGATGTAGCTTGACACATCTGATTACACAAGTCTTGAACAAAACAAATAGGTCACGGTGGGTATTTTCTCCAGAAAGCCCACCTCTGAGTAGCTTTAGCTAATGACTCTACATGACTGGGCTTTCATGAGTATCCTCAAACAGAACAGAAGGATGTCCCAGTTCCAATGGCCTCCATTTCCTCAGCCTCTCTACCCCCCTGCTAATGCTTAGAACTGATCTGGTGAGCTCCCTTGTGTTGAAACCCTTCCATATGATTCCAGACATGTGACCCTCCCACTCCTTTTACCCCTCTCATACCTCCCTCCAAGCTGACTCCTGCATCATTCACCTCAGTCACTCTCCCATCTAGTGCTTCAGCTGCTACTCCTGAGCTTCCTCTAGAGTATCTCATTCTGCAGGCCCCACCAAACCAATCCACCACCCCACCTTCCCAATCCTCCCACAATGTGGCTCTGGAGGCTGAGAGCCTCCAGTCCTTAAGGGACTTTCTTCACAGAAATTGTCATATATGCCCCACTTAGAATCCTCTCAACTTTAGCCAGGACCCTGACTTCTACTCCACAGAAGACGTCAGAGGGTGCCCCACACCTTCCTGGCCCAGAATCCTGCTTTCCTCTTTTCCCCCTTCCTTGCCTCTTTCCTGGGCAAGCCTCTCCCCACCCCAAAGCTTTGGGAAATTTGCTCCATTGAGCATCAACTCCCTCTCTAGTGCCCGTTCTAACTTGAAAGTATCACTAGTAAAACAACAAACCTCCCTCCAACCCCACAGCCAACGCTAGGGCCAGTCTTGCTCTCTGTCATCCCTTCACAATAAACTTAAAAAATGTTTTTCTTCCAATACAACATATACCTAGAAAAGAGCCCAAATAGGTGTACAGCTCAAAGCAGTTTTTCAAATTGAACCCACTTGCTCATTCAGCACCTAGATCAAGAAACAAAATAGCCGTAGTACCCCCATGAAGCCCCCGGTAACCCTTCCAGCTGCCATTATCCCAAAGGCACTCATTATCCTAACTTCTAAAACCACAGAGCAGTTTACTGCATTTTGTAATTTTATATAAAAGAAATCATACAATCTTGCTTTCTTTCACTCAGCGTGGTGGTGGTATAATGTTCTATTGTAGACAAGTAACATTCTACTGCTGACAGGCACTTGAGCTGTTTCCAGATTTTGACTATGACACTGTGGCCATGAACATGACCAAGCATGCCTTTTCATGACACAGCCAAGCTTCTTGGAAGAGCTGTGCACATGCTTTGCTGGATCCATACCTTTACCTCCCATTCTCCCCTCAGTCCACTGCAACCAGTTTCTCCTCCACCCCACACCCTGTCATCAGTCTTTGCCAAGAGCAGTGGCAGGTGATTTAGTGGTGACATCCATGGGTACAAGTGCACCACAGACAATGCTGACAGATTCTGTGCTCTAGCCTCTCCAGATGCTCCCACTCAGCCTCTATTTGGAACACTGACCCCATCACCCTGCTTACGCCAGTGCTCCCAGGTCCTACTTTTGGTCCTCTCTTTTCCTCACTCAACTCCCTCTGGGTGACATTTTCAGCATTGCTGCCAGTCCTCTGCACATGTTCTTCCTCCCCTGGGAGTACCCTACCTCCTCCTCCTCCACCCACCTGTCCTTTAAGACTCTGCTTAGACTGACTTCTTTTGGGAATCCTTTCTGTCCTGCAGTACTGGCCTCTCAGTACTGAGGGGCTAGGTACCTCATGCCCCTGAGGATGCAGGCTTTGAGGTGGTGCCCACATCATACACATGTGAGTTCATGAATGCAGGGCTGTATCTTCTCTATCCGCAGGTCCTCCACCCCCAATGCTAGATCTGATGCATTGTGGGTGCTCAAAAAAATGAGCTGAATGAATGAATATACATAAATTAGAAAAAGAGTGCTGAAAACACATAGACTGAGAAGAATATGTCTTAAAAGACTGCTGTATTTTCTTCTCTAGATAAGGTACATAAACTCATAAGGATACAACACCTTAACTATCATTCAAAGGAACTAATTTCCCAAACTGGACTGTTACACTCACAAATTACCTTTTTTTTTTGGAGGGGAGGGGAGGTTCATAGTTATTTTGAAATGAACAACCAATCTCAAACCACCCCACCAGCCATTACTGAGCACAAATGAGCTACTACTCTCACCTTCTCTCAGGCTTCATGGCCTGACTGGTTTATTCTAAGAATCTTCACAGGTCTTCCCACCACTGGCCAACAAGGAAATATTCTCAGAATGATTCTATCAGAACCACAGGGTAAACACCAGGTTCAGATCATATTTTCCATCTTTCCCCACTGAAAGAACAGTATGGCCCATGATGAGGCTGGAAGCCAGCACATTCAGCTTTAGTAAAGGGAAGCTATATCTGGGCTGTGACGGTGAGGACACACAAGGCTAAGGTGTGCAACAAGCAGGTGAATGCAGGAGGCACAGCACAGGCTTAGCCCAAAGCCAACGAAGTCCAAGTATACAGTTAGGCTGGGTGATATTAGGCCAGAAGCCTGTTCACTGCCCCAGCTTTGCCTGGGCACCAGTCTTACCTTTGGAAAGAGGGGCCTGGGATGCAAAATCACAGCCTGTTTTCTAGGCTTCATGAGTTCTGCTTCCACCACACAGAGCGTGAGTAGGATGGCTAAGCTTCCAATTGTGAATCCAGTCTGGAAAAGTATTAGATGTGATGTTCGCCCTCTCTGGCTGGGCAATAGCATATTTCTGCATTATGCAATTATTCTCCAGATCCAGAGGTAGCATCTGTGACCAAGTGACCTGTTAAAAGCCTAAAGACACTCTTTGAAGCAAGGGTCCGAAGATAAGGCCATAGCAGTGACCTGCTCCACCAGATCATGTCATCAAAAATTCACACTGTGAGGCTCATGACAAAAAAAAAAAAAAAAAAAAAAAATTTGGAAAGCTGTTTAAAAGTAATATAAACTTGAGAGGCATTTTTTTAAGGCCAGGGTCTCACTCTGTTGCCTGGCCTAAAGTATAGTGCATGTGATCATAGCTCACTATAACTTCAAATTCTGGGCTCAAGTGATCCTCCTGCCTCAGTCTCCCAAGTATCTGGGACTACAGGTGTGCAACACTGCACCCAGCTAATTTTTCTACTTTTTGTAGAAACAGGGCCTCACTCTTGCTCAAGCTGGTCTCAAACTCCTGGCCTCAAATAATCAATCCTCCCACCTCAGTCTCCCAAGGTACAAGGATTACAGGTTTTTGAATTCTGGGTTGGCTCTGGATCTTAGTCTGTGGAGAGTGAAGCTGTGTCATTTGCAGAATATGGTGGAAATCCTCAAACCCATGTGAGTTAGTAGCAAAAATCTATTTTGATTCAATAAAGCCACATTTATCACGATCCACTGACATGGACAATCCTGCTCATGGTGTGCTGATCAAAGTTCTACCAAATGCATCTGTCGAAGGCATGGAGAGCCCCAGTTCACTGCCCCAGCAAGAAGCTGTCATCAAAGCGGGCAGTTCTCAGTCTGGAAAAAGAAGGCAGGAAACTTCTTGTCCATCCAGGGCAAGGCAAGTGACTTCCTAAGTCATCAGATGAGATGGAAAGGCAGCAATGGGAAGAATATGGGACTGGGAGTTAACAGAACAGGGCACAGGTCCTCATGCCTCCACTTGTTGATGGTGTTCCCTTGGAGCAGACTTGGGGGGGTAAGTTCACCTCACAGGCTGTGTTGATGCCCCAGCAGCATCCTTGTCCTTGTGTATATTATACCTCCCCTAGTAAGTCTTCCTTGCCTGCTCTTGCCTCTGATGATGCATATGCTCCTCTGTCAGTGCCAGGCATGAAGTGTGTTATTTCTGCTGTGTCTTCTGCCTGACAGCCTTTCCCATAGCATGCCAGCCTGCAGAGTGATAGACTGGCCTTTCACACACCACTCCATCTTCTGCTGAGTTCCTTTTTTCTTTCTTTCTTTTTTTTTTCCTCAGAGACAGGCTATCATTTTGCCATCCAGGTTGGAGTGCAGTGGCATGATCATCATAGCTCACTACAGCCTTGAATTCCTGGGGTCAAGCAATCCTCCTGCTTCAGCCTGCCAAGTAGCTAAGATTACAGGAGCACCATAATGCCTAGCTAAATCTTTTATTTTCATAGAGGTGGAGTCTTGCTAATTTGCCCACATCGGTCTCAAACTCATGGCTTCAAGTGACGCTACTTCCTTATCCTCCCAAAGTGCAGGAATTACAAGTGTGAGCCACCCTACCCCACAATCTATTTAGTACCTTTAACCACTCTCCTCAGAGGAGAAACCCAAGACAGTGGTGGCAGGGAGGTTAAGCGACTGGCTCATAGTCCCCTAGCAAGTGGTGTAGATGTGACTCAAACACAAACTCTCAGATGCCAACAAACTCCTTCCCTAGTCCCTGACGTAAAGGCCAAGAAAGGGCAAAAAGTAAGAGGAGTGAGAGCTATTTCCCACAGAAAAGACCCTGGTTAGAAAAGTCCTTCCCCCAGCATGTGACCTGCCTGCCCAGATCTTTGCTGGCTCAGCTCTGGAAAGTGCTAAGCCCCCACCCTTGGGCTTTGCAATCCCACACTCTCCATCTGCATCTGCCCACCTCTGTGATGCCTGTAGCTGGACACTGGGAGCAGCAAGAGGGAACCATTGTCTGGAGCCAGGCACAGGACAAGGCTCAGCCCTTTTCATAGAGGGCATCAAAGACTCCTGCAGTCATCTGCCAGGCTTCTAGGGAAGGATATAGATGGCCATGGCTAGTGATCTGGGTGCCTCTGCTTACCTGTTGTGCCGCTTGTGAAACACACAATGGAGAGGTCATCAGGCTGCGGGGGCTGCAGGGGTGAGAAGAGGAGGGTGTTGGGAAGACCCAGTGTGGTCAGTGAGGGCCTGTGATGCCTGGGCCCCTCCACTGGCCAGCCCCATGCATGTGCTGTATGTGGATGTGTGCATGTGCTTGATGGTGGGCACATGAACTCCCAGGATGGAGAAAAGAATGTGAGGAAATCTTATTGGGATGTGGACATAGATCTATCCCACTGACCTAACATCTGGTCCTGCTGCATCCCGCCACATGAGCAGAATTCCCCTAGATGAGTTTGGGCTGCAGTGGCCTCATCTAGACCACTACCAAATATCTCACCTTTCTAGTGGATATGACCCCGTTCTCTCTGCTTTCCGTTTTCTACCAAATACCTGGGGTTAGGCTTGGGAACACAACATGTGACTCAGGCACTGAGCTGCCTGCTTGTCACTAAGACTGCTCAACATACACCCTTGCCCTGGCACTAGGCACACAATCCTGAGTTCCTGCCCACCAAGTCTGCTTGTATGTGGAAGATAGCTTCTCAGATATGGTGAAATCGAGTTGAAATGGAAGGACAGGCAAGATTTCTCCAATGAAGTGAAGGTACACATTTGGGGAAAGGAACTAGCCTGGGCCACAGGCACAGAGGCACAAAGACACAGGATACCAAGGCATCGGAAGCAGTTCTCCAAGGCAGAAGCCTAGTGTGTGGGATGTGAGCAAAAACCAGGGTCTATAGGTGAGGGCCCCTGGGAAGCAGGGGCTACCTGCTGAGGCATGTGCATGAGGAAGCTCATCAGGGGTGGTGAAGGGAAGGACAAGATTGAGCTGGAGGAAAGCCTGGAGGGCAGACGCCTTGTTAGAAAGCTGGAAACCTCGACATGGCCCATCCCAAGGACAGCTTTCCTCACTGTGACTCAACCCCAGGTAGCATCATATGGGTATGACACACAGAAAAGTTTACAAGGACAGCAGATGCCATGAGGATAGTTGGCCCAGGGGTCCATTCCTGGTTCTGTTTCTGCTTCTGTCCAGCCCATCCTCGGGAGAGTTCACTACATTTGAAGGGAAAAAATAAGACTTCCCAAAGAAAAAGTTACTGGAGAACCAAAGGTGGCCAGAATCAGCTGCCCTTTGTTCTTCCTCCCAAACACCTGACTCCTAACTCAGGTCCTTCCCCAGGCCTTCAGCCCACAGAAGTCCTGGTCACCCAACTGGGCAATTCCTGACTTGCTCTCAGGAGTTGTTTATTAACATGCAGGTGCTTGTCTGGCTTCTGTACTGAGCCCCTGCTTATAGTAAGGGCTCTGGAAAGACAGGCCATACATACGGCCTCACTCAATAAGGCCCTAATGGCAGATTAGCTTACCACAGGAACATGGTGATTCTCTTGGCCACAGTCCTGAAAGAAGAACATACTGTTTTTAAATGCTCAAAAGTTCTCATCAATTAAAAAAAAGATTAAAATAAACAACTCAGCACAGTAGGCCCTATTCCCACACCAAGCCCAGAATCCAAGATTCTCTGCCTAGATGTGGGTTGCTGTGATATCCAGATACTACCCCAGAAATCTCTCTTCAAATATAAGTCAAGGCTCTAGGGAAAGATGAGGGTGCCTAAAGGTCCTAGCCCAGCTCCCACATTATAGATAGAGAGCCTGAGGCTCAGGGAGAGTTTAAGTATTGTGCAAATGCCAACTCTAAGATGGCATTCAGAGTTTGGGGTATGTTGGGCCTAAGGTGCTTGTGGTACATGTGGGCACATGCTCAGGACAAAGTGGCTGGGTAGACTGGACCTTCAGATGAGCAGGCAGCGCGGGGGGCCAGTGGGAGCTGCCAGTAGAGGTGTGGTTGCTGTAGCCAGGGAGGGGTGTGAGTGCACAGACATTACAAGTCAGTGCAGAGCAGGCGAGGAGGCAGCAAGAGAACAGGAGGGCCCAGGGGCCCATAGCCAGTAGAGTGCAGGGAAGGTCAGTTGCTACTGAGCAGGGGCTGTGGCCCTAGAGGCCAGGAGGTCCTGTATTGTACCAGCTGCCATCAACGTGATGTCTCTGGGAAGGCCATACATAGACAAATCAGTTCTGCCATCACTAGAGGCCTAGGTGACATTTGCATGAATCTCTTTATACTCCCAGACTTCCCAACTACAGACCCTGGGCATAGACAGGCTGATGCTAGCTGGAAATAAGAAGCTCCAGAGGCTATGTGAGTATCTCTGGGGAAGGTTAACACCACCATTCACCTTTTGGTAACTGGTGCCATGAACTGATCCAGCCACAGAACCTGCTTCTTAGAAGAGGCCTATGGGCACCAACCCCACTACCCACCACCAGCCCTTGGAAAGGCTGCCCTGTCTAGACACTGATACACCCTGAAGGCCCCAAAAGGCCACCTAGGGCATGAGAGGGCCAGAAAACCAGCAGTTCTGACTTGGTTGCCAGTTAGCTGGGGCTCAGCAAACAGCCTGGACCCAGATCCTCACCTCCATAGCCTGCATGGACTTGACGACCACCCCACACTTCTGCCCTCTTTCTTTCAGGTCTTCCTCAAATGGGTCCATGAGGATAATTAGCTTGAGGCCTGGAGTTTCCTTCCTCTCCACATGCTCCAGCAGAAGCATAGCCTTCTGAGGTTTATCCACAATCACAGTGCTGATGTCCGCTGCAGGGACCACCAAGGAGAGTCAGGGCATGTGTGCACAGGCTGTGACGGTAAGCAGCACAGACCAGGCAGAGGTACCTTGGGCTGTGAGCCCCACATGGTATACGTAAATAAACATATAAGACAGGCCATGGGTGCCGTGTGTTGTGTCCAGAGGAATGTGCTATGGATCTTGGGTAGAACCAAAGGCAAAAAACCAAGAGATCACCTGGAGCAGACTCTAAGTTCTTCGGGGCTTTGGGGCTCTGCTCCCATCATCCCAGGACTCCTTGAGATATTTACCACCACCCCACCCCCCTCTAGCATCTGTGCCATGCTGTCACAAACCTCAGGGATACCACCTGTGTCGAGGCTGGCACAGAGGCTCCTTCTGGGCAGCCTAGCCCTATGGAAGGAGCCTTCAGGTGAAGTCTGACCAGTAACAGTTATGACTCAAGAAACCAACTTTGGGGCCAAAGTATAAGCCCTAGTGTTTTCTGAGAGCAAAAGCAAAGTGCCTATTATGAGTGTCAGACAATAAAGTATAACCTGAGAGACTGAGGGCTTGGGTAATGGCTGCCAGTTATGGGAGTGCACAGTAGTGGGCTTACCTGTATTGATGATATAGCGGATAGCCCCAGGGCCCAGGGTGTCATACAGCGGGACCACCACCATGGAATACGTGTAACAGGCCAGCTCTGCAATGATCCACTATGGAGACACACAGGTCAGGTATTGGGTGGGTTATGGGGATAGAAAGGAGGATTAGAGGGCTGTATTGCCCTTAGACCTAGCAGATCAGGGTCCCCACTCTAGGCCTGTAACTGACCCTCCATGTGTGGCAAGGAATCTGCAAGGCTGATGAGTTGTGCTGCTTCACCCACAGCCTTTTAGATCATGCTTGCTCCAGGGAGTTCTAAAACTCCTGGATTTCATGTCTAAACATCCCCAAGTGTGGGGCTCTTCCCCAGGTCTTTCTTTCTCATTGGCTCAAGGGGCAGCCATTTGTGGAGCTGGGGGTAGGGTGTGGACAGAACTGGCTGAAATGTCCAATCCTGATAAGGGGCAGAGTCAGGGGTGGCAAGGGGAGTGGTAGCACAGACCAAGAATCCTCATTTTTTCTCTTGTCTCAGGTCTTACAAATAATGGGAACAGGACTGTTCCATGGTACCTGACCCCTACTCCACTGATACCTCTACATCTATTCAAGGCAGATGCTTACCTCTGGCCGATTTTGTGCGAAAACACCAATAAACTGATCCGTACATGCTTTACAGTTGTGCTGGAGCAGTCCGGACCCCAGAAATTCAGCCCTGTCGGCCACCTGCATACACGTGTGGGGAAATGATATGAAAACAAGAACTCTTCAGCAGAGGAGGGAGATTTCTGGGCAGGATTCCTACAGGTTTAAGAGACCTCCCTGATTTCCTACCCAAGCATACTGAAAGTCACTCAAAGCTGCTGCCAGGAGTTTGGCAGACAGGCCAGGAAAATAAAAAAATGACCTTCTCCGATTCAGCAGGGCACTTACAACCTATCCCCATCCCACCTCCGAATGCCAGGTATGTATGGCTGTTCTCTATTACTCACTTCCTGGTAGGACAGCCACTGGTAAGGCTGCTTGGGCTTCCTAAAGCCAAGACAGGGTCCATTCCCTGCAGAGAGATAAAGAGGCCTTTTGTTAGGGGGAGGGAAGGGTGTGTGTGCCACCTACATCTACCCATCAGGAGTCTAGACATCCCATACTGTAGAGTACCCACAGCCCAAGTGAACTGCCCCACAGATGCCTGTCTAACCTGCTAAAGATCAAGAGGGCCTACAGAACACAAGTATGGCATCTCCCCAAGGATCTGGAAGGTCTAGGAATGGGGAATGACCAGTCCCTATCATGACTTGTGTGATGGTCCCTATTGTAGACTCCAAAGGACACAGACACTTTGGGGGCCACTGGGAGGAGATGGTAGGCTGCTTTTCTGTGACCACCTCCCTCACTCTGGGGACACTCAGACATCTCAGAGGCTCAGGCTTAGCAGTTCAAGTCTCACCAGGCTTATATAGTATGAGCCAAGAGATGGCCTAAGGGCTGGAACTCCGATGAGGTCAGCCCTTTGGCCACATAATGCAGCTGCTTCTCTGACTGGTGGGAGGAGGGCTAAGAGTGGCTTCTCTCTGCTGAACCTGGGCACTGCCATGTCCCTGGTATCATGCTTTGGTTACCACCCTTGTACCCGCTCAACCCGTCACAGCCCCTCCTCATGCACCCACTGCCCTGCTCACCTGAGATGCTAAGCCCACGGCGGAACACCTGGTACATGGTCCGAGCATCATCATAGTAGTGGGTAAGCAGGTGAGGGCTACCCCCAATCACAGATCTCCGGGCCCTGCCACTCTCCTACAAGCAAAGCACAAGCCAGAGAAGCTGGCTCAGGCAGGCAGAGTTGTCATGAGAGGACCCCAATGTATGCAAGGCTGTAACAGCTGGGATATACAACTGGTCCACACATTTGGGGCTGAAACATGCTCTGTGTGTACTCACACACACAGCCTGTATACACATCTGGACTGTATACAATCAAACTGTATATATCCACACCCAAACACTTAGGCCCAGTATACCAGTGTCCCATACATACAAACTCAATACACAACATTCACATACCAGGTCAGCATATACAAAATGTCCAGAATTTGCAGTTCCACACCGTGGTTCATTCATACAATACAGTGGGGTATTGAATAGAGTCAGGCTATCCCCGGCATCAGATTCAATCTGCCAAGGTGCCCCCTATACCATCATCTGCTGCTCTTTCCTAGGTTAATCCTTAACCTAACCATCTATATGTAATCATTAGCTAAGAAAACTGCCATCCATCATTCGTGTAATAGTGTAAATTAGGACAGTGCTAAAGATACTTTCCCAGGATCAGAAACCCAGAAGGATCAAGAGAGGGCAGCCTGAATTATGTTAATGTGCAAAGGGGGTGGAGGGTGCAGGGGACAGGCAGTGATTTCCTGGGCCTTCAGTAGTACAAATGTAAAGTAGGAAGGCAGCATATCCCCTCTGTGCTAGAGGCTAGGAGAGGAACCAGGCTTTTTCTCCCACCTCCTCCTGCTTCTCCCTGCCATCCATTCCTAGGTTCCTCAAACCCAGAATGCCCAGAACCAAAGCTCCACCTCTTCTCTGAGCATGATTTGGGCTCAGAGCCCACCATCTTTAGAACAGCAGTTCTGAGGAAATATGAGAGCCACAAGCAAACAACCAAATTCAAAACCACAGGCAACTCTTAACTATTTGGGAGTGGAAAGTTCTGTTTGGCCAGTGCTTCCCAGGCACTAAGCCCACATAAGACCCATGAGGGAAGCTGGGGGCACATACAATCAAACCCAGTTAGCAAAAGGGCAACAGATGTGATCCAGCAAGAGATTCTGCCAGGGACAAAGGAGGTATGTGTTTGGAAGTGGTCACTGAGTTGAGTTTTGAAGGATTCAAGGGCTTTGACAGGCAGAACAGGGAGCAGGGAATGACAGTCTCAACACAGGCAATAGCAAGTGGAAATACATGGGAGCAGAGGCACAGGTACATCCAGGGGACTGTAGGCAAGTCATGGGGCTCTAGATGGTAGTGGTATAAGAGGAGGCCAGAGAGGCTGTGGATCAAGGCAAGGAGTCTGGACTTCAGGCTGAAGACAATGAGGAGTCAAGGGAGGGTTTTAAGCCCTGGGGAGTGACGCTGTCTGAATTATGGTTCCTACCCCATAGCGCCAGATCCTATATGATCTGAGTCTCCCCCTTACCTATCCCACCTCTTTTCCTATCACTAGTGCGCCTCTTTGTCTATTCCACTGATGCCACTCTGGCTTTCTTTGCTACTTGAGGATGAGGAAAGGGAGGGCTCAGTCTCCCTAGGAAAGGAGGCCTTAGCTTCATCCCATGCCCCTATCCTCCCAGCCACTCATTCTGTAGTCTCCGCACATGGAGCCAGGCCATGCCTCACACTGTCCTCACCCTACTTGTCACCTAGGTGATATACAATCCAGATGCCTGTGGTTGCCTCCTCACATTTGCCATCCTTCCTCACAGGGTGCCACAGCCATCCTTCTACAGCACAAATTGGTCGTGTCTCCCTAATGAAAACCCAAAATAAATTCATGCTGCTCATCCTTAGGGTCCATGCCCAGTTAGTGGGGGCTCTGTCCTTGCTGAGCTCTCCAGATGAGTTATCAAAAACTTAACCAAACATATCTATTCTTAGTGATTTCTCTGCTTCATCTCACCAAATCCTTACCAGGCCTTAGGAAGCAGGTGCTGAGACTCAGGGAGTTAAGAAACTGCCAAGGATCATATAGCTTATAGAAGCACAGCCAGGCTTCAAACCCAGGACTGCCAGTAACAAAAGGCCATTCTTAGTACCACTTGGATAGCCCATCTCCAGCTCCTCCCCACTGCCCAGCAGCCTATACCAATCACCATTTCCCTAAGCCACCATGTGCTTAAGCACACACCTGCACCTTGGCACACATCATTCTTTCTACTGGAAAAATGCCATTAAGATCCTGGCCCCTATCTTGACTTATATCCTCCCCTACCAGGCAAAACATTGTCACGCTATGATTGCCAAGATGCACTGTCAAGAACAAAAAGCAAGGTGCACAGCAATGGTGCTGCATGATAGAATTTAAAATGGATTGAAGGTTGTGCCTACACATGGCTAGGACAGAGCAATTAATACAGGTTGCCTCAAGGGAGGAAAACGGGAGAACAAAGGAAGAAGGCAAAAGATTTTCAGGTATGTCCTTCTGTTTCTTTTGAACTGTGTAAATATATTATCTATTTAAAATGAACAGAATTAAAGTTTAAGGAAAAAAACAAACTCTAAAAAGGCAAAACAAATTCTGTATGCTTATGAAAGAACATATCTCACCAGTCCTTCCAGACTTAGCTCAGAATACCCTGTCTACTGGGCCACTGTACTCTTTTCCCCTCAGTGACCCCACCTGTGAGTCTGTGTGCTCTGGGAGGGCAGGGCCCAGGGATGGGCTCAGCTCTAGATCCCAGCCCCAGACCAGGACTGAGCACAGGAAGAGTTTGCAAAGGAATTTACATGGCAGCCTTTTGAGAACCTGCTTAGGCTTCCTACTTAGGTACCAGTGTGCCAAGGCCGCCTATTCAAAAAATAGGCAAACCCAAGGCCCAGGTGAGACTGTGCCCAGAGGTAGATCCTGGGACAGGCAGAAGAATCTGGTAGCAAACCTTACCCAAGGCTGCTGCAGAGCTAGGTGGCTGGCTGCGAGGGGAAACAGAACTCCTCTGGGCCATTTGAGGTCAAATAAGCCACAAGTTTGGCTTCTACCTTTAAGATTCCTTCTTCTGCCTGGTACTTTCCACAGCTTAGCTGCTCACCTCTACTTCTTCCGACTGCATCAGGAGGTTGCAGGGAGGCTGCAAGGCCTTTGGCCGGTGAGTGAACCAGTAGGCGAGGATGGCGGCCAGTGCACCCATACTCACGAGGGTGGTAGCTGAGAGGCTGCGGAAAAACTGGCCCAAGTCACCCAGCTCGGGCAGCCGCAGTGTCCTCAGGATCTCCTGGGTCTGCATCTTCTCCAGAAGTGAGAGGACTAACTCTGTACAGAAAACAAGAAGCAGATGAGGCAAGACACTTGACAGGCAGGCTAGGAAGGGGTCCTGTATCATAGGTGGCAGACCAACCTTGGCCAGCCCTGGCCTCATATGCTGTAGGGCAGGCCCTGGGCTAGTTGCAGTGTATAGTCTCCTGGTACAACACAGCACATCCCAGAAGCTGGCTACCTGGAATGGCCTTTACCAGGGAGAGGCCAGAGCAGTCATACCCAACAGACATCTGGTCCAGTTTTCTTAGGACCATATGCTCAGGCCCTGGGCCATAGCTGACAGCTGCTTCCATATTTTCTAGGAGCCAGTACTCTGGTGGCCCCGGGATATGGAGAAGAAGAGGGCAACAGAAGTGCACAGCACAGTACCCAGGATAAGTGGGGTGGAAGAATGCAGACCTCCCTCAACCCCTAGCTCCCAATCTTAGACTCTGATCCTGAGGGAGTGAGGGAAGGAAAGCAGTGCAGAGCCCACAGATCAGCCTGGACAGGTCCCTCCAAGCCTCATGACATGAAGGCAAGGTCTATCTGACTATATGGGCACCACAACTCTGTACTGACACGGACTGAGTACCAGGAGGCACAGCTGGCCCACCATTTATAGGGCCCATGCTGTCTTCCCTCATCCCTTCAGCTAATGTCCAGGGAAAAGTGGAGGAGAGTGTCAGAGGAGAGCAGCCATTAAATTGGAGGGAAGAGAAAAAAAAAACAAGGCTCAGAGAGAAAGGGCTCAGCAAAGTGCTATGTGCGTTCCAGGGAAAACCAGCCTCTCTTGTGATGTCATGAATGGTGACCAGGGTGCCACACTCACCTACTACAGCCTACATGGGTACAGTGGGCTTATTAGGGAGATATGGGGGATGCCCTGGGGTAGATGGTGGGAAGGTTTCTGTGAGAAGCACCGGTGACTAACTTTGGTTCAAAGAGAACAGACCCCAGGGGCCTCCTGCATCCTCCAGTCTACTGCCTGGTAAAGAAATGTTGGTGAAGTAAACATTCAGCAGCTGGGCTCAGGGGTTTGCACCATGCCCAGGACTGAGGAAGTTGTTGATGGTGGGTCAAATGTCTCCACTGGGACCCCCTCATGTTACCGCCCAGTAGTCTAGAAGTGGTACAGGACACCTATAGGCCTGCCAAACTAGAGATGGCAGGATGGGCTCGAGGATACTATGTACCATCCTTAGGCACCTTCCTCAGGGACCCTTGACCTTTGGGAGCATGGCTATGGTTTCCCTTCCTGGGAAACAAGGAGAAATACAATGATGGCTACTCTGCAGCCACAGGATTTCTTGGCCCCCAAGTGAGGAGAGACCTACTGAAATTTCAATAAATGGTATTTGTGCTAAACTATGAGATCACTACAATGGAGTGAGGGAAGGAAAGTCATTGCACAGAGAAGGAGAGAAGAAACTGCCTTGATTTGAATCCCTTCTCTTCGTTTATAAGCAATGCAAGGTTGGGCATACCCCATCCCTCTGAACCTCCACTTCCTTTATCTTTAAAATGGAGATAGTACCACTTAGGTATTTAAAGCTTCTCGCACTTTATGTGGCACACTCAGAGGACTAAATAGATGGCTAAAGGATATGTATGTCAGACTAAGGGGGCTGTTCAGCCCAGAAAACAAAAATGGTGTCAGGGTGTACCTGGCCCAGGCTGATGCAAACATAGGCAGAGGTGGTTAGGCCCAGGCACTTTGGCCCCACAGAAGAAATTTATTCTCTATGGAAGGCATTGGAGGCTGTCTGAGTCCTGGGAATACTCAACCACCTATGGCTCTGAGTGCTCCCTGGAGAGCAGTGAGTATGAGCCGCCAGCCAAGAGAAGCATTCTCACTGAGCTTCCAAGCTGGAAATTCAGTTGTATGGGCAACCTCTTTGAGCTAGGGTTTATGAGGCCATCCCACAGCAACCACTCACTCCTGGTGCATTGATCAAATTAAGGTTCTGCATCATCAAAGAAGAAACCCAGTTACAGACCTCAGTGAAAATCGCTCTGGATAGGACACTGGACAGGCAACCAGCTGGCCTCCTTGGGGCATTTACTTCCCTAAGCGGCATCTAGGAAGGTCAAGTGACAGCTAGGCCTATCAGACAGATGACTCACTACTTAGTGGAAAATACAAATATATTCACCAGCTCTTGGGATGAGCTCTGAGCAGATTGACATTTCTCTTGACAAGCTGAATTGTCTCAATGATCTAAGATGCCAAGGCCCAGGAAACCCCTGCTTAGCTGTATACCCTAAGCATTTTAGAGAGAACCCTGGAAGGATACTCACTACCACCAGTTCCTAGTCCTTGACAATTGCTCACAGACCCTAAGCTTTGTATATTTGTGGCATTTGGTGAAATGCTGGAGTTTAACAAAGTGCAGCCCAGAATGGCCATGCAAGCCATCCATCCATCCATCCATCTTACAGATATGTCCCTGGTTTCCCTAGCTCAGTATCAGGCTTGCCCTCAGTCCAACCAGGGAGACGCAGGAGGGAGTGGGAAGTGCATGAGAGCCAGAGGCGGTGCCTGATTCAGGTATGGGGAGTTAGGACAGGCTTCTGGTAAGAAGTAATATTGATGCTGAGACTGAGAGATAAAGAAGAAAGGGTGTCCCAGGCAGAGGAAAACAAATATACAAAGGCTGGGATTGGCTGGGCACAGTGGCTCATGCCTATAATCCCAGCACTTGGGAGGCTGAGGTGGATGGATTGCCTGAGCTCATGAGTTCAAGACCAGCCTAAGCCACAGTGAGATCCCATTTCTAAAAGAAAAAAAAAAATAGCCAGGCATTGTAGTGGGTGCTCATAGTCCCAGCTAATAGGGAGGCTGAGACAAGAGAATGACTTAAGCCCAAGAGTTTGAGGTTGCTGTGAGCTATGATGCTATAGCACTCTACTAAGGATGACAAAGTGAGATTCTGTCTCCAAAAAAAAACAAAAAGAAGGCTGGAGTTAAAAGAGCACATGGAGCACATAGGAAACAGAACATTCAGTTCAGGAAATAAAACCTTGAGTCCATAAAATCTTGTATAAAGATCAGTACCACTAGTCCAGGAGGCTGGATGCTCAGATATGCTGAGCTTTCAGCAGTCACAATGCTATCACAGTTCCCAGGGGAAAAAAAGGGGACCTGCCTAAGCTTCCTGAATTCCTGACACCTAGGAAGCCCTTTTCTACACATTGCACTGTTTGATCCTCGTAGCAGCTCCATGCACTAATTCCAAAGTGGAAAAATAGAGACTCCACTACCTTCTTCAGTAAACGAGGTACATGGCAAGCAATCAGTAGATCCAGGACACAAATCCAAAACTATAGTCTCCAAAATCATCCCCTTGTGTGATATGGCCACCCCATCCCCTGCCAACACTGGATCCATTCCCATAAACCACCCTTTCCTTTGCATTGGTGCTGAACCCACAGAAAACCAGCTCTAGCCTACTCAGAAGAGCCCAGCCAAGGTTCTCCTGCCCAGGTAAACAGAAGCACAGGGCCACCAGAGCCTGTGCAGAGGAGTCAGCCAGCCAGGTCAGTCATGGGTGGGCTTCCATTCTCATGGCTGGCTCCTTCTCCTGACTGGGGTGTCAGAGAGCAGTAGGAAAGAGTTTGGCTGCCTATTCCTTCTCATACCCCTATGTAGGTGCCCACCCCTAAGGATGTGTCTACAGTGGCTGCAGCTTCTCTGCCCCTGAAGCTGAACCTATAGCTGTCCTTGGCTGGGCAGCAACCAGAGGGTCTCATTCTTCCAGGTTCACCAACCTTCTCAGACAGTCAGAACTGCTTGCATTCACCCTGAGAGTCTCTTTGTACCTGGGAACCACTGTACAGCAGAGCTGTGAGTCCAGGTCCTCTGAGGACACTGACCTCAGAGCCAGCCTATGCCACTAAGCCCTTGGCATGAGGGAGAGCAAAGCCTAGGCCTGAGAGTCTTGCCTCATCTTATTTCATAAGGCATTGGCCCCCTCTGATTTCCATGCCTGTCTTTCGACCTGGGGAGGAGCTTGGTGGTCCCTAGGGTCCCAGCCATGACTATACCTTTGTATGCCCCAGGAGGCTCTCTCCTGGTTGCAGGGGAGGGGTGTGTCTGTAGGGGGAGGGGGTTTGTGCATAGAACCCAAGGGAATCAGTGGTGTTGATGTTGCCAAGTGAGCAGCCTGTGAGTGGTTGTAAATATTCACCTGGCAAGAGGACCTGGTCCTTAGTATGAACTAGCTAGCTTCCTCTTCCTCTCCTGCCAGGACAGCCCATGTCTTTTCCTCCAGCACAGGCAGGTTCAAAATACCACGTGGTGGCATAAGCCAGAGGATCTGGGACTTCCTCCCCCATGGAGGGTGGGTAGTGAAAGCCACTGTAATCCAGGCCGTGAGAGACCAGGAGAAAAAGCATCCAGGTGGGAAGCATGTTGGCTCTAAGTTGATGGGGTTGCAGAGGCAAAGTCCCAGGGTACCATCCTGTGGAAATGGCCCTGGGGCCCATGACTTGGCTCCAAAAACCCTCTGCTGGTCCAGCCTCCTAACCCCAGTACTCTAGGCCTTTGTAGTTGAGGTGAATGGCTCCACTAGGGCTATTTTCTAAACATCTCTCAAACCTGGCCACTCTTCTCTACCCTCTGAGTCTCTGGCCTAGGCTAACCACTAAGTGCAGCCCAGACTCCCATTCCACCCTCCTAGGACTCCTTGCTCTAACCCATGCTTATACTGATATCAAGATATTTTCCTGATACACAGATATGAGCATGTCATGCCACTGCTCAAAAACCATATCTGGCTCCCTACTGCCCTAGGACCAAGTCCAAATTCATGCTGGCAATGAAACCCTCCATGAGTCTTCCTTCCCCTTGGAATCATCCCAGCTCCCCTCTGTATCAGCCTGGGGTAGTGGTTCTTACAATGGGGTTCTGGGCCTCTGAAAACTTCTGAGGCCTTCAGAAATAGTGGAGAAGCACAAGCCAAGCCACCCAATCATTAAAGGACCTCCTTTACTCCTGGTAAAGAGCTCTAAAA